GTATCTTCGTGTTTTCTTTGGAGATACATCATATCATCTTTGTTTTTGAAAACACACGACATTTCGATTGAATTGGACGTTTCGTCCGATCGTATAAATCCTTTTGATTTACTGAAATTGCATCCGGAGAGCCGTTAGCGGATAATCTCTTCGGCGCCATGTCTCTCGTCCATCATCTGTCTCCGGTGCTTTTTCATCATCGCTCATTTGGCTCTCGTTCAGTTGTTTATCGCACTGAGTCTGGTGACATTCGTGTAGATATTGATCGTGAGATCTCTGCAGTACCGATGCTCCACAGCATCGACCCGGTTTGGGTCAGTTAACGACCTTATGTATTTTTTCAGACTCATCAGACTATAGGCTTATGAAAGATTAGATGATCGTGGACAAAGAGAACGGCTCAGAATCGCTTCGTCTGACTTCCTTTATCCGCTATCCGGCTGGTGGTCGTTGTAAGTGTGCCAGGAACACAGGTCGCTATGCCGCTGTCGCTTGCCCTTGGTCAAGTAATTTGACCATCGCATTGACCCAGCTTGTTCTTAGACAATCGACTGAAGTTTCAGGTCCAGTGGAATGGTAGAATTTGGTTCAGCTGATTGATGAACGTGCCATACACTTCATTGGGGATGTCTGGTTCAGGTTCGATGCGCGACATCAAATTTTCTCTTATTAGCTGTTAACCACACAACTGCCTTTTGTGCACGGAATTCGTTTCATTGTGCTTCGGTAAAACCAACAAAAATACGGATAGCAAGGCGTCGACCTGCGATATGTAAGAGCAGCATGAATTTTTGACGTCGTCATACCACAGATGACGCGATGCGGTGCCATCGCCTCTTATGCCTCTTGCGCAGTTCCGCTTGACCCAGTGGTAGCAGAACTACGCAATTAAGAAACAAAGGTAGCATGTTACCGTTCGAATGTCGGTTTTCCTTTGATCATGGGACGAGTTCTGTCGCCTACACATTCATTATCATAAAATTGATCATTAATCACTGATCTTCATTTCCATGCAGTTCGTCAGCAATGGTTTATTTTTAAAGAGAGCGTCGACGTCAGTTATATGGCTTGAACGATACGTGGTCGAGTTTGTTGATTTTCTCTCAAAAAGAATGTGATACTTATTTTTTCTACCTCGGAAAGAAGAAAGTTGAGTTATCCAACCGCGACTCGAACTTGGCGTCTCACCGGGTCCGATGCTGTACATTCACACTGAGCAACGTCGGAACTCCGCACTAACTACTAGCAAAGGCATAAACACAACGACCGATTCGTTAAGGCTTATGGTACCGAAATTTCAACAGTCTTTTTGAACCTGAAATTTTCTCTGACTCTCTGTACCTCTTATAACTCTGGTTTAATACTGCGACTACCCTAGCTTTGTTCACACCCTATGCACACGAAAAAGCGCCAAAATGAGGGTTTGTTTGTAAGCAGCATAGCAGTGGTCGGATGATAGACAAATAACGAAGTTTTGGTTCGTATCTCAGGAGGGTAAATCAGGCGATCAGGTTCTGTTGTTGCTCAGATATGATGCGATGATCTTACACAGGTTTTTTTATTTAATTTATCCTTTGTTAATTTGATAATTTCGTTTTTTTTTCAATTTTCTTTGCGCTGGAAAGCGGGATTCTTCGATGAATTAGTTCAAGCAAAGTAGTTTCATTTTCGCGTCCTGGTATTTCAGCGAAATCGGCTATTTTTGGCCTAAGCGACATTGGACGAGTGTAAACACACCTACACGCGTTTTTCTGTACATGTCCGTTTAAGGCAGAATGTGCATGTCGTCTGTCCGTCTTTCTGGACAGGTTCGTCCTTGTGCCAGGTCAGATACGACATTGATCTTCCCTTAACCGTCTTACCTTAAAGTGTGATCCGCGAATATATTTCTGATGAGCCAGACTGCCCTCCCCCCGCGCACACGGCTCAGTACATGTAGATGACGCAGTTGATGAAGATATGCGTGGCTCGAAATCTGTTATGTTCCTTCAAATCGTCACGAGGATCGTAAGCTCTCGCCTCTACCGCTTTCTAGTTCTGATGAAGCTTCGATTAACTGGCACAGAAACAGACACCTGAAGTTTGTTTATGCTTTCGCGATTCGTCACCTATTTCTACTTTTCCTTTGTAGTCGATAGTGCGAACAGCACTAACCACTGCCTAGCCACCGTTTGCTGTCTTGCTCGTCTCGGTAGATAGCATCTGAATGAGTGAGTGAGTGAAGTCTGCAACTCCGGCAGTACTCATCACCTCACCTACGACTTGTCGGTTCACTCTGCAATGGCCGTGCGTTTAGATTTGTTTCTACGTGCTCTCGTCCGTGACCAAAGCTGTTCCTCAGCGTTCGGTCAGTCTTCGGCGTAGGCGGTCATCTAATGGCCATCGCTATCGGTGAGCGCCTGTTCCTCATCCAAATGAGCCAAGTGGCGAGTCGACGTTGTGGGAGAAATGATTCAACGATATCAGAGGAATTTTTGCTCCTTTTTTCATCGAAACTGCTCTTTCACTGAGTGACTGGCACGTGTTTGCATGCCACCAGACGGCGAAGCCGTCGTCTCCTCCTCCTTCTCCTCGTCGGTCGTCGCCGCCGCCCTCACTGTTTCAGTAGTCCTCGGTTTCGTTGTTTGAACGGCTTGCCGTTCTACTTGCTGCAGACACCCTTGGGATTGCGACTGAGTACTCAGAGCGTACCGACCGCCGCAAACCGGCATGTATTTCCCGGTGCTGCTGTCTACTTAGCCTCATTTTTCGACCGTTTTAAGGGACTGCAGGATCCGGTCATTGAGTGACCTCATCATCGTACGTGTTCCTACGTTGCGTCGCTGTGTTTTGTTTTGCTCGTCTTATGATTCCAAATGTTCTGTTGTTTAACATCGCTGATCCTCGCCTTGCTTATTTCTGAAGTGTGGCTTCTTCTTGATCAGCAGGTGGTGACTGATGACTCGAGCTCGAGACTTCCAGCTGAAAGAAGTCCCTCTCGTACGCGTGCGTCCACCGCGAGTATTGATTTTCCTCTTGTGCTCTGATGAACGGATCAGACTAGTGTTTTCCTCAGCAGCAGTTTCTAAACAGCTTCTTGTGTGGCGCGTTCCGCATTTTCGTCGTCGACGACGACCAGCGGTGTTTGATTTCGCATCAGTTCTGTTTCACGTTCTTTGCATTGGTTGGTCTTCGGTTTTCCCTCCGTAAACACAGTCCTCCTGATTTTTCGTTAAAGCTCATAAGTGTCGGTTTGCACCGATATTTCCATTAAGAATGACAAATTCAAATCGATACACCGGATTGTCAGTCCAGATGGCAGTGTCTATTTGCATCTAGACATTTGTGCAGATCGAGATATCTATGCAAGTGAAGGCTTTGTCGTATGACTCGATTTGAGTTAGTGCGCTGCCTCAAAATGTTAGCGCCAGTGGGGCTTGTTGTTCGAACATTAATGTACTTGCAGCGATAATGGAAGTGCTTTCTAACCGTTAGTGTGAGAAGACTTCATTTGGATGTTTGAAATCTGCCAAATTTGATTTACAGGACTGCTGCCGTGTGGAATGACTAGTCCAGCTTACTTATCCTGTGTAGCGAAGAAATTTTATCTGGCCAGGTCGAGTTTCATTTGTCGGTCGATTTCAGGTTTCTGATTGGTTTCGGTTTTCAAGGATAATGTAATAAATTTCTTTATTCATTTATTAAGCATATGCGATTATGACACCTGCAAGTTGAGTAACTCCCTAAGCCCGATCCTCCTGTATCTTACCTTAATTTTGGACGGTTCGTTCCCGTCTACTTCTTTCAGTGCACTTTATCTGTGTTAAGTGTAATGCTCCTTTCGATGGTAAACAAACCTGCAGTACTCTGCTGTGATAGTAGAGTCAGCGTCAGAGTTGTTATTGAATTCTGCGAGAGATTATGAAGGCCGTGGATGGCAGAAGATTGCAGATTTCGTCCCGTCAGCATGTCTTCAGTGCAGTGATTAGGCAACTGATCTGAGCGACAGCAACGAGAGCAGCTTCGTTGCGCCACGCACACAGCTCGGTTCATTAAGTGACCTCCGCGATGAACAGCGGCTGTCGTCTCCAGTGGAAGGGATTGTCTAGTGGCACTTGAAAAAGTTTCATGATTTCAACTGCAAATGGCCTGAGGACCATCCTCGCACAGCATTTCACCGGCAGAGCAACGACGCCGCAAGCGTTGTGGCTGCCGCAATGCACAATGGCTGCTGAATACTGTTCGATCAAGCAAACGACCACAGTATCCAATCACAGCAGATGGCATCTCCACGATACGGCCAAAGTTTGAAAGCACTGCATGAGTACATTCCGAATTCCGTCCATCATTCAGCTGATCATTTGACTTGAGTATCAATTTACTTCTACACTCATGAACCCGACTAATCTGTATTTTTCGTACACCAGAGTTTTGCACTAAGACAGTGGCGAGTTCGCGTCTCCTGTGTCTCACGGATTTGCAGTTTTTCATCAACGCTTTCTCGCCCTACCTGTGTTCTTCGTGAGCGTGCCACGAACGCAACTCGATACTCGTTTAGTCGTCCCTCTTCCTGGTCGTTTCCTGACGAATAGTTGTTCGGCAACCTATTCACAGTTCTCAGCCTCATCAGCATCAGTTCTTGCCAATGACTCCTCTACCTTCATGCTTCCAAACCGATTCGCCGAATGTATGTTTATAAGTTTGTTCTGAGCGTCGAATATTTGGTTCCTACAAATCGTATGGTTAAATTTCCATGCAGCACTCAGCGCGGTTTATTTATACGCAACGACAAACTTTTTTGTAAATCTGATTATGAGATCCGTGCCTCACGGACCTTCATCGAGCTAACGAACGAGGTCCTTCAGTATTACTGTACTCAAGAAGTAGTTTTTCTAAACCTCGTCTTCATTTTCACCTTTGAAGAAGAATCGTGAGACACGGGCCCAAAAGTCAGTACTGGTCAATCATCCGATCGGCAAAGATATTTGCCTTGCGTGTAAATAATTAATTGTGTTTACAGAGACCGAAGCGAACGTTTTTTGAATTAGTTTCAGTGTTAAATAATTAACCTGTAATTTGATTTGCTGAGGTATATCACTTTATATTTGTTGGCTTTTTTCGTTAATTAATAGGTACTGATAAGTTTCTACCGTTTCGCGTTCGATACCTGTTGTGTGTGCCACTGCGTAGAACTGTCCATTTTACAGATTTTGACCTTTCGCCTGAAACTCTTAACCGTTCATTACAGTATATCCGAATTTTTTCGGACGCAGCCGTAGTTTTCCTGAGCTGTACGAAGGGGACGGGTCCATTTCTGCTTGTAGAATAAAACCACATAACATATGACGGTGTTCCGTGTCTAACCAGATAACCTGGTGCAGGTGACACCCCAGAGATTCAGAAAAAAGGAGGTTGGCCTTGTTAGACAAACTGGTTGAGCATACACCATTTACTCTAGCTCATGAATTCCTCTTGTGTTAGCCGAACCACTGCACACGTCGATCAGCGGGCCAGCATACAACATGTTAGGAATAACGTGGAGGCAGAACTGCTTCTAGAAAGCAATAAATTTTTCGCGATGCAATAACCGGTGGCTTATGGTAAGAGTGTTGAAAGGCTGCGAACATCACGAACATTCTGCTCACGCAAACGGCTCAAAGTGATAACATGAACAAACGGCATTCTAAGCGACGGATCCGTTTGTTTTGTCTCGCTAATAGTACTTTTTCAGTCAGTTCTCTCCGGTACAACCACCTCTTCTTCAGCAGCGATATTTTCCCGTGCCATGCCACCAGTGCTTCTTCATTTGTAGTGAGTTTTTCAATTTAACTGCGAGGCGTAACGAACCTTTGCCCTGGCGTTTGAACGCGATTGAATACAGTACAGTTCTGAGGACAGTGTCTCACTGTGTTTACCCTCATGCTACAGTTGTGTATTTATTATAATCGTAATCGAAAGTCGTTTGTGTTTGCGTAACGTTTGTTTTCTAATGTCCACTTCACTCTCAGCATTTCATCACGTTTACGCAGGGCAGTTATTACTGGTTCTTAGGTGAAACAATTGCTCCCTTTTAAACAAATTCCCTTTTATCTTTCGACGTATCTTATTCGAACAGTAACTGAGGTTTTGATAATAATTTGTTATACGTTATGTGTATATAAGTTCTGATGGCTTATGCTATAAATAGTAACTTCTGTACGTAGCACGTCAGCAGGTAGATGCGCGATGAAATAGGTAACAGTCATCATAGGAAAGAAAATTACAGAAATTGATTGATCGTTCTTCACAGTAGCGGCATCATCATTGCCCAGTCTTGATTCCGCGGCACTCCTCTGTCTCGTACGATTTGTCGTCTGATGCTTCCATGTCTAGCGTTTAACTGATGGTCTCATCTGAGCGAGGTCTTTCTATAAAATACTTTCTAGTAAACGTTAGGCATGGAGCATGTTTAGCTACGTGCACGCCCGTTGGCTGTCAGTCAGTTGTTTGATTATCTTGCGGTATTGCCCGATGGGTGACGCGGAGGTTGAGGTTGTAGGTAGGACTATAGGCAACTCCTCATGTGATAACATTCCTCTGCGCTGGTCGCTTTCGCTGGAACACCGTGGCATCAGGTGTCTTGGTTTTAGGTTTCACTGAGTCGCACGTGTTGCCAAATCGAAGTGTCACAACGCGTGTAGATTTTGGACGTGGCCAGTCGAGTTTTCGGATCGCGGGAGGAGTGTTGTTTGAGTTGCTTCTCTTTTGTGTCCGGTCCTCATTCGAATCATGGTAAATCACGAATAATGCTATCACCTCTTGAAACTGTTCATTGTTACCTATTCGCTATTCATCACCTTCGTGTCATATGCACTTGTACCATATTAACAGTCTTCATCTCTTTGACAAATAAATTGACAGGCTTTCAACATCATGAGGTTCGCTGTGACGGACCACATAAGCGCTGTAAAAAATACTTCAAATAATACAAAATTGAAATCGATGCCAAGAAAATTGTTGATGAAGTAGGAACTTATTGTTTCGCAAAAGATGATTGACGTTCGGTGCAACTTTGTGAGAGAATGTGTTGACAGTTTAGAACAACTGAGCATGCAGCATGGTTCAAAATGGTCGATATGCTGAAGCTTTGAATTCGATACCATGGAACGACAGAGTCGGAGACAAGTTCTGATAACTCGGTTCATTACGGTAGTTGTAAGTTCCTTGCATCAAACGTTTCTGAAGCCATTCATTAACTTGAAGGCGGTTCGGATCCATCTTGGCTCTCTCTCTCTCTCGAAGTCGGTTTACGTTTACACTTGAGCCAATATCAAGTTCGATTACTGAAGCCGTTTATTCGGAAAAACTAGCGGAATAGTTGATGTCCTAAATGAAGTTCGAAACTTTGCGTTCATCACGTAAAGCGACAGACCATCGAATGCGTTCAAGTCGCCTCCTATTTATCATTCGCTAGTTCGGTTTTAGCACGTATTGTTATGAATACGGGTAGTGCGAACTGATTGATGACTGGTTCGAAAAAAGTTTCTTTCGTACAAAGTTCGCTGATTCGGGCAAGGAGGTGTGGAATCTATTCTACTGTTTACGATGATGCTTCTTGACTCAGTGCTCCAGCTAAGACAAAAGAGCGAAACAGGCGAAACAAGTGGGCTGCATCTGCGAACGACATCTTATTTCGTGCCAGTGTTGCAAGCAGACAGCTTCGTCGCCTCCGCATCACTGTTCTCGATCGCGG